TCTTTCCTCATAAACTCTCCTAGAAATTTCAACTGTCATTTCCTGATGAGTATAAGTTAACATTTATTATATAAACATAATGATTATATGTATTTTGTTATATTACATGACAAAGGTTCAGAATTCACAACTTTAAGCAGGAGCCACTGAAGTGTTTGCACAATTAGTTCCCTTATTAATATGTTGCTTCTAAAACAGGTTTTAAAAAAGATTTCCTTCATTGTCTTTACTTTGGATATCAAACTGCTAAAATGGAAAAAGAACCTGAAACCATGTGTTGCGGATCTCAGAAGTCATTTCAGATCGCAACTTAAACAGAAGCTACTGATAAACCGTTTTGTCAATTAATTCTTTTATTACAAGATTTTTTGTGAAAATTTCTGATCTTGAAGAATATTGCTTCGATTGTCTTTATTTTTTGCGCTTGTTTGGAGCTTTTTGTTTTTTTTTGTTCTCCTGAGCGCTATGTTCAACTGTTCAGGAGCAAACATTGAGGTTGATAAATAGATATCAACATGAGGAAATGATTGACCTTGTGTCTTAATAACATTACATAGTGCATGACATGAAAGATATAAATACACAACGGTAATTATTATATAGTGTTGATTAAATGAAATAGTTTTATTTTCATATGAAAGACTTACTTATTTCTAGAAAACTTTCTTAAATATTTAAAATATTTGTAAATACTTTTTTCAAAGATTAAGTTAAGCTTTACAATTGCTTAGCTGCTGTCACTAATCACTTTTTTAGAATTTTCTTTTTGGCAAACATGACTAAATGTGTCCGCAATATGATGCAATGTCAAAAGGATGATTTTTCCCATGACACCACTTTTTTTTTTTTTTTTTTTTTTATAGCTACCTTCACTCTTTGGCAGTGTTTCTTGTTTTAAAAAGTGATGATTAGAATTGGAATAAAAATTAAATACGTGTCAAATAAATTTATATATTTTTTTTCATTCTTGAATGTCAACAAGAAAATATTAAACACTATTAAATTATTTACAAGAATAATTTCATATTTACAACATTCTAGAAACTAATACAATTAGAACTAATGCAATATTTACCAGTTTATACAGAAATAAATGTGAAACCAATTTTTTTATTCATAAATTTATAAACATTAGCTAAGGAAATCCTCATAATTTACCATTTTATAAAATTTGCCAACCATTCCAATAAAGAATATAATAAATAAATGATGTAAATAAACAATCTAATAGTGTTTATTATATTTGTTGTTAATTCTCAAGAACAAAGAAAATGTATAAATTTGCTTTTATATGTTTAGGTTTTATATCAGTTCAAATCATTGCTTTTTAAAACAAACATTGCCAAGGAGAGAAGGTAATTATAATAATAGCAGTGTCATGGGATAAACCATCCTTTTGACACTACGTCTTATTGTGGGCATGTAAGTCCATGTTTGCTTTGAGATATCTATCTCAGTCTATATATATCTATGTATCTATCTTATTCTCTTCATATCTACATATTTATCTCAGTGTGTATCTGTTGTCTGATCTTGTGTGTCTCTTATAGACATACTATTATATTTTAATAAAAACCAATAGATTTTTCTTTTTGTTCTTATCTCAGATGTTTTAGGAAATCTTCTACTTACCCCATGACATTAATTTCAATTTTGCTTGAGTGAAATTCTTTTTTATTTTTTGTTTTATGGTTTTAAGAAAATAACAATGATTTACGGTGTTCTTTAATTCTAAGATAAACAAAACAGTTTGTTTCAATAGAATATCTTTTCTGTAATTTTTCTTTTCTTTTCTTTTTTTTTAAGGTCATTTGTTATTTGTGTAAGTTGAATGTTGTCTGTCTCTTTAGAAATTATTGAAAATTTCCATCAAAATTAAGTTATAAACAACATTGTGGGAACATTGTGTTATTTAATGACTTACTTAGCTAATTAACAGTATTAGATTTAAATCTTGTGAATTAAAGTTTGAATTTTTCATTGAAAAAATAAATTAGGATTGGAATTCTTAAAAATGAATTTTGTCTTGCATAATTTAGTATATATAGTTTTTTCGTTTTTTTTTTTTTTTCAATTTTTCTGAGAAAAGGATCTTTTTAAGAAAGTTTCTCACCCTCCCCACATGTTTACAATGGTAAGCAAAATTTATTTTACCAAAATTATTAAAAACATTAAAAAAAAACTTAAGTAATATTATTTTTTTTAATTCTTAGATAATGTCCATAATGTACGTGTAATCAAGCAAGAACGAGGACAATTGTAGGTACCCCCATGGATTTGCTAAAAAAAAAAAAAATGAGCACGCTGTGATGAAAAAATACCCTAAACTTAATTAAAACAGCTTTATCACCAAAATCTTTATTAAAAGGGGAGGGGGGAGAATATTTTAATTAATTAATTAATTAAATTTTTTAATCCTTTTTAGAACATTTGAAATTTTGGTTAAAAATTTTGTTTTTCATCAATGATTAGTATTGGAAATTTTAGCATCTTTTTTTGTAGTGAAAAATACATTGATTCGGAAATTCTTGCAAACATCAAAATAATTGTCTGATTTTAATGAAATTTTAGGGACTTTTCACAAATCAATGAAATATTTGTTTTTGTTTTTTTAATCATTTCACCCCAAGCAAGGTGGGAATGCCACTAGTTCGCAGGGGATTACAGGGAATGAAAGTGAAACAGAAGACTGCGTATAGGGAGGATTGAAGAAATGACAAAAAATGAATGGGATTCAAGAAGATAGAAGATGGCAGTTGACATTGCATTTAAATTTTTGAAGATTGTAGTTATCAGGGAAGCGAGTAAATGGAAGGGAGTTCCACAGGCAGGAAGTGTGAGAAAAACTGTTGGAGTAGACATGACAGTTGCATTTAACCATTTCAACAAACTAGTAGCACACTTAAACTCACGTAGTCCAGGCACCAGGTGAAAAAAAACTTGTCGGAGCATTTGCTATGAAAATATTTGTAGGAAAGACAGAAGAAAGCCACACCACATTGGTGATAAAGTGATTGAAGTCTTCTTTCACTACATAAAAAGAATGAAGGCCATTTATTTGCTATAAAATATGTCTAGGATGATGCACAATACTGCAATATTTGACTACGGTAGTATTACTCAAAAGCGTGGCTCGGATTATATGTGAAATATATGAAAAAAATCAGGTTTTTCATAAAAATTCAGAGGTCACACTAATGATTACATTGCAGATCTTTCTTTGGATTTTGTCAAGAATCTCAAGATGTATAGCAGGAACTCGGGTGAACGGTAGATTTGTAAATATGCAAGATTTAATTTTCTGGCTAACACATCTATAAGATATGCATAGTCAACCTAAGACTAGGACATTTGTTATGTGTGTATGCATGTCTTTTCAGCTTTCCACGTTCTTATTCAGGTTGATTTTTGCTAATAATGTTTCTGGAATGTTTTTAATTCTTTCCATTTTTTTTTTTTTTGTAACGGTTTTTGTGGGATTTTCTTACACTTGTCATTTTTCTTAGATTTTGACAATATCTTTCATAATATAAATGATCTAGGAATTTTTCTTGGAAATACAAGATGACTCTCTCCATGTCTTCTACTTTAGACAGAAGACCACCACTTACTAGACTCATTATTCTTTTTGACATATTTGTTGTTTGTCTTCCATCTTATTGGACATGACATGTGCAAGTGGTGCCTTGTCTTTGCTGAATTTAGAGAAGTCTGTTATTAAATGAGTCTAATTCTTATTAATGAAATTCAGATTATGGCATAAAATATGGTAGGATGTATGGTCAAGTCGAACATCATTAAAAAAAAAAAAAACATTTAGAGAATTGCAAGAAACATTCGGCATTTATGTACTTAGATGAGTGACCACTTGGGAAGACCAGGTACTATAAGCTTGGATGCGCAGGTGGCGTAATGGATAATGGCTCAGAATTATTAATCGGAGAGCAGAGTTCCAATTTCAGTTGGGTTTTTTATATTCATTTACATGCAAATACCTATGGAAAATACACCTCTTCTCCTTCAGCTATGGGTTAATTAGTAAGAATTTTAACACAAAATCATTATCTAAAAAAAATTAAAATTACAATCTAAAAATATTTTCTGAGTTTAAATAACCTGTAAAGGGTTGACAAGCTATAAAAAAACAAAATCTATCAATTACTTTTACTGTTCTCAAATGAAGAACTTTTATTTCTTAGATTTTGGAAACTGTTCTTTTTCTCTTCAATGATTTTTAACACCTTTTGCACAGTATATTCTTGGACCTTTTTTGCATTGTCTGAATTTCTCAAAGTAACAATTTTCCTTATTTCATCAATTTTGGAAACTTCTTTTCCTCCTTCTGACCTTTTAACTCTTAAACTGCAGACATCCAGAATTAATGTTTCATTGGATGTCATCAGATATCTTCAATTAATGATTTTAAATACTTTTCCAAAGAAAGGGTCATCATTCACTCATCATTTTAACTCTTGGACAAGTCTTGCCAACTGGTCGACAACTCTATCATCCGTGAGATTATTACTTATTAAGTTCCATGAGATTACATCCTTTTCTAGCATAATTGCCTGCAATTAAAGCAGAAAGAACAAGCCAAAGAAAGTGCTATACCTGCATGAATACTTTTCAAAGAGAAAAGAGTTGAAAAATGGCAACAATTTGATTTGTGGAATGTGTCGAGATTCATACCTTCAAAAAATATTAAATTTAGAAATTTGTTTTATTCACTTTTATTTTTTCTTAATAATCTACCAGGGTTAAAATACCATTTTTGCAGTTTTTTATTTGTTTGTATATATCATATATATTCTAGGTTTTATGATCAGTTTTTAATGTAAAAAATATGGGGTCGTACTATACACAGGTGAAATCTTTTTGAAAGTTTAAAAATCATTAAATTTCGGTGACCGGTTGCCATATACATGGGTAAATTTTTTGGAGGGGTTAAAATTTAGGCATTTATGGTGACTGTAATCTACCCGGTAGGCCTATACATTCCCATGGTACCTTTCATTAACCTTAATGCTACAGGTAAGCTCTTTTAGCCGACCTCTCATAGCCTAGATTCTTTCTTAATGTTGCTACATGAACAGCAAAACATTATTCACTATGCATGCCACTTAAAATCTACAAATACCTTAGCTTTGTACAAAAAAGAATGAAAGCCATTTATTTGCTATAAAATATGTCTAGGATGATGCAGAATACTGCAATATTTGACTACGGTAGTATTGCTCAAAAGCTTGGCTCGGATTATATGTGAAATATATGAAAAAAAATCAGGTTTTTCATAAAAATTCAGTGGTCACACTATATACATGAGTATAAAAAAATAATATAATTTTAAATTAAAATTTAAAAATTAAGTTTAAAAATAATACAATTTTCAACAAATTATTGTTTAAAGAGAGGAAATTTTCATTTTCGGTGACCTGTGACACTACATGGAGATAATTTTTTTTCTTCTGGTGGAGTGAAAATTAGCATAGAAATTACCCTTTTTAAAAAATGAATTTTCTCTGATTTTTTTTTTTTTCTTCTTACCTGTTGATCAATTTATACAATTCTTTTGCACTTCATGAAATACAATTCTTTTGCACTCCATGAAATACAATTTTTTTACACTCCATGAAATACATCTCTCAGATGTTCTGGTGCCCATCTTCAGTGATGTTTTCAGCTATGGATCATTAGGCGTTTCAGGTTTTACAATATTGCACCTCTTCTCCACAGCGACCCGGTTGATATTGATCAGATATCAACATGTG